CGTGGTATCACAGCATTTTCAAGGCCGAAACACAATCAAGAGCTGAGTTGTCTCAACGGCTCTGAATTGCTTTGGTAAGCTAAATATAGCCCTCTTAGCCGAAAGTTGTTTTTCCTCGGGACCTTCTTGATACGGGGGGCTACGATTCTTTACCTGTACGAGGTGCCCCCTACGAACCTTCAGCTCTCTTTCTCTCTTTTTCCTGCGCTAGAGAAAGAGATAGAGAGTGTGGAGAGTCAGAATTGAATCATCGATATGCGACGTCTCTTCGAGGAGATGTTCTACGCCGACTACGATTTATACCTGACGGGCATACCTTTTCTCGTGTAACTTTATTTACACAGCAATACCGTGACCACGACAACTTCAATCCGCAGAACGAACGACATTGTCAAATAAAAATCTTCAAGTCGCAACATGGATCGTTGCTGCAATGGTGCCGATGACGACGACGACGATGGCGACATGCTACTCGAATTCAATAAGTTCTGGGAGATGCGATGCCAGATTATCGAGGCCCTTATCGAGTGATATCCTCAGGGTAACATATGGTACTCAGGCCGTCGACTTTATTTCATCAAATATAAATCAATCTACGTCGTCACGTCTGTCACCATTCCCGTCTGTGATCAAGGCAGGACCTATAGCTAGGTAGCTAGCTGCTGTCCAACGTTGCGCGTGAATATGAATATGTATCACGTGGTCTAGTCAAGGGAGGGCTGTTTTATCGATACCATCACATTCCATTGAATCCGTTCCTTTTCTTTCCATCCTTCTTTTGTTCGAGTCCTGAACCCCGATCGATTTCTCACCGGTGCGGACCAGTGACTGGAAGCAGCAGAAACATGGAGGATCTCATCAGGGCCATATACACCACCCCCATCATCGACCACCATGCCCACCCTCTGCTCATACCTTCTGCACTCTTCAAGTATGACCTCAAGACTATCACCACCGAAGCCCGTGGTGATGCTCTGCGAGCGACGACATCATCTCTGTCGCATATCCGGGCCGTCAGGCAGCTTTCCGACATTCTCCAATGCCCGCCGACGTGGGACGATGTTGCCAGAGCCATCGACATCGAGTATGGAAAACCGCAACACGCATGGCAGAAGCGCTGCCTGGAAGGCATTGAAACCATTCTCATCGACGACGGATTGGATGAAAGGGAACAGGTTCACGACTATTCCTGGCATGATATGCTGACGCGGAGCGAATGCAAGAAGCTCGTCAGAATCGAGAGGGTGGCTGAAGAGATCATTAACGGATTGCTCAGGAACCCAGAACTGGCCCCCGAGGATGTGTTCGGAGGCTTACGAGAGGCATTTGAGATGGTGATCAAAGACGCCATCGCGGACCCAGAGGTGGCGGGCTTCAAATCAGTCATATGTTACCGGACTGGCCTGGACATTCCGGCACATCTGTCTGTGGCAGACGTCAAAGACACTTTCGTTGACCACATCTCGCAACTGAGAGAAGATGGAGTCCAGACTTTTAAGAGGATCGATGACCTCCCCATGAACTACTATCTTGTCAACAAAACGGCCCAGCTGGTTGCAAAGAGTCCTGGGCCGTTCAAGAAGCCACTCCAATTCCACACTGGACTAGGCGACAACGATATCACCCTCACAAAGTCCTCGCCTTCTCATCTACAGGACTTTATCCGAAATTTTCCGACGGTGCCAATTGTGCTTCTCCATGCCAGCTATCCTTGGACTAGAGAAGCCGGGTATCTTGCCACTGTATACAACAACGTATACGCTGATATCGGTGAGGTATTCCCGTTCCTCAGCAAGGAGGGGCAAGAAAATGCCGTCCGCGAGATTCTGGAGCTTTGCCCCACCGAAAAGATCATGTGGAGCACGGACGGCCATTGGTTCCCTGAGACATATCTGCTTGCTGTCATCCAGGTCCGAGAGGCATTTGAAAAGGTAAGAGTTAGAAAGGGGCTGTCCTGAAAAAGCTAAACCATGTCCAGGTTCTCTGCGAATATGTGCGTGAGGGAGTGATGTCGGTTTCCCAGGCTATCAGAGCAGTCCAGGACATTTTCTTTGCCACTTCAAATGACCTTTATGGTCTGAGTCTGACTCTTGCCCCTTTGCCAACCAGCTCTCCCGAAAGCACTACTTCTTCTATCAAGGACCTAGCCACAAGAAGAGGACCACCTCTGGAGAGCCCACCAAGCTCAGACCTCCAAGTTTTGAAGTCGTTCCTGGCAGAGCGCTCCTCTGTCAAATTCCTGCGTCTCCAGTACTTGGACTACACGGGTGAGCCCTGAAGTTCAATCTGGTATCCCGATCCTGACTTCTTGAATACGAGTATTTTTCGTGGCTTGCTCAAGTAACTCTGGCTGAGATAAGAGGCTTGGCAATTGCTGACTTGCCCACAGCAATTCCCAAAGTGCGAATAACGCCCGTCAAACGAGCCATCACCATGCTGGAAAGCAGTCCCCATTTCCAGACTGGCGTCGCAAGATGCGGCCTCGGACTCCTTCAAAACGACACCATCATCCCTAGCGTTGCCTCCATTGGCGAATTCAAGCTCCAGGCCGTTTTCTCCTCCCTCAGACTCGGTCCCCGCAAAGACTATGCTTCAGTACAATGCGAGTTCCGCGAGACAGACGGCTCTGAAGTCACACTCTGTCCGCGTTCTATCTTACGCAGAATTCTCGAGAAGTCTCGTCAACTTGGCCTAGAATTCCTCGTCGGATTTGAAATCGAAATCGTGTTTATGTCCCGCTCTGCAACCGACGGCAAGCTATCTACTCTTTACGATTCCGCGGGCCATGCGTGGACGTCTGCCCGCGCCATGCAGGATGGTAAGATCCTGGATATACTGGGCGAGATCCACGATTCGCTCGAAGCAGCAGGCATTTCTCTTGAGCAATTCCATCCCGAGTCTTGTTCTGGACAATACGAGTTCGTCCTACCCGCGAGGCCATGCCTAGAAGCCGCGGACACCTTGATCCAAGCCCGGGAGATCATCGCTACCGTCGTAGCAGGCCACTCCATACGCGCGACTTTGTACCCGAAGCCGTTCTCGAAGATGGCAGGTACAGCTTCCCACGCCCATATGTCAATCTCGACACCTGGCGGCGACGACAAGGCTGTATATGAACCGTTCTACGCCGGCGTAATGAAGCATTTACCGGCCATCATCGCTTTCACCTACAGCCATCCGGTAAGCTATGAGAGAATGCAAGATCACTGCTGGGCCGGCGGCCGCTGGGTGGCATGGGGGACCCAGAATCGCGAGACGGCCCTCCGCAAGATCGAAGGTAGCCACTTCGAGATTAAAGTCCTCGATGGACTGGCGAATATCTACTTCGCGATGGCTGCGATTGTTGCCGCTGGAACGCAGGGTGTTGCGGACTCGGAGGAGCTAACCCATGGGGACTGTACCGTTGATCCAGGTTTGCTGAGTGAGGAGGAGAGGGGAGAGCTGGGTATTACGAAGATGCTGCCGAAGGATTTACCGACTGCTTTGGAGGAACTGAAGCATGATGAGGTGCTGGTTGATCTGCTAGGGAGGGAGTTTATCGAGAGGTATCTGGCTATAAAAATTGCGGAAATGGAGATGTTTGATGGGCTCGCGGCGAGCGAGAGGAGAGCGTGGATTATGGAGCGATACTAGGCATGTTCGAGCCCCGATGTAGGGCGATGCTCATCCATCCATGAACACACCAGGGCCGGTACTGCGGGTAGCAGATATAGATATAGCTTCAATATCCCTTTTCGCCTCAAGTGAAATGAGAAGTACCTAGT